AGCCGACGACCTACACCTATGTCCACCCCGAGGTAAGCCGTCTGAAGAACAGGCTGAACACTCATACCGACTCGCTTAAGAGCGTGGGCAGCCTGTTTAGCAACACGATGAGACGAGCAAAGGATGACACTCTTGGGCGCCAGGGAGAGCTCTTGCTCCTGGAACAGACTGCAAGTGGCCGCGATGCTGGTTGACATCTCGACCTGCACTTGGCGCTCCGAACCTACCGACGTCATTTTGATATCGTCTATCCAGATGCGCTCGCTCATAGAGGGGTTGACCGCCGTAAGCTTGTGCATGACAAAACACGTCATACACCTCGCAAGCCTCGTCCCGCTCCTCAAACCTTGAACCGCGCTACGGGTAGGTGGGAAACATTCAGAGCAAGCGCCCAGCTGCGACAAAACCCGCGGGGCAAGGCAAACCTGGAGTTCCAGAAACATCAACGTAGGTGGGAAACCGAGACGAAGAGCGGCAGCGACCAACTTAGGCCATTGAATATGATCGTAAAAACTCTGGATATCCAAAACAGCGGAACCAACAGTAGCCCCCAGTTTAACTGCAATCTCGCTCTCTAGCGCACGCACAAATGCTTCATGCAAAGCGCTGTTGCCTGAAACTGCGGCTTCCCACTCTGGGCAGGATGCTGACGTCCAAGCCTTCGGGACAGGCTCCCTTGCGAGACTCCAGGCCCGACATACCATGGATATCAGCCCGATAGCCCTGTCTCCTCCCGATTTCTTAGCTAGTAACCTCCCAATAACCAAAAGAGTCTGCCATGGCCAAGTGAGCCTGTCCCCAATGGCGGAAAAAGATCGATAAGCTCGCTGATGGCCCTGTCGGACAACCTCTCGAAATCGAGCGGGGTGAGCCTGTCTATGCCCATGCCTGCGTTCGCACGCATCTTCCTCAGTGCAGCCCGTACTTCGTAGATTTCCAACCTGGGTAGGGCCTCGAAGTGGGCCTCGGTCCGAATGTCCGAAAACAGGTCGAAAAGCTGGTGCAGATCCAGGGAGTCCGAGGTCCAAAGCTTATGCCATTTCCGAACCTTGGAATCGATCAGATCCTTGGGATTGATCCTGACCCCTTCTTCACTGACGAACTCAGCTGCTGGCTGCGGTGCCTGCCGTGGAGACCTGTGGATAGGACCGAGAGAAGCTTCGTCCACGATCCATTCCTTGAAACGTTGAAGAGAAGCATGCACAGCGCGCCCACGAGCTCGACTGGCGGCACGCTCAGCTTGCCTCCTGAGACTCTCAAGTAAGGTCGTATCTAACATTTCGAGCTGCCCGAGGTACCTGGCCCACAGATCCCAAGTAGTGAGGTCCGCCCTGGGCTCCACAGAAGCCCGTCGCACAGCAGTTCGATCACAGGTAGACACGACCGTATGGGAGCCCACTGGAATATCGCTGACCAAAACTCTGCCCACTTGCGCTAAATGCCGTACCTGTTCCTCCCCGTTGTTCCTCAGCCTATGCCGATACAGCCTACAGACTATGACGTGAACGCGGGCCCACCACCCTGCAACGACATCGGAAAGAGGCTGTGGCCTAAGATGCTCAGCTCTTTGAGCGAACTCGGCCGACATAGCTGGACCTGAAGCGCGGCTACGCCCAGCAAGAGGAGCCCCATGATGACTAGCAATAGTTGCCTCCGCGGTGCAAACCCACGAAGAGAACGTCCCACTGACAGCCTGGATGCATTCGCCCCCCCATGCGGTACGCCAAGGAATCCCTGATGACAGGTCAGACCTCCCCCGACTGACTGGTGCAAAACCCAACGCATTCACGCTGCTCTTGCCAAGTACTTTCTGGGATCCAGAAGTCGGGGAGGGAGGGGGGGAAGGGGAACTGCCTACCGAGCCAGAGCTCCCCTCGGGTTCCACTTGGCGGGCTGGGGGGTCGGGGGGCGCTATTTTGCTGAGCGCACGTGGCCACGCTAGAACTAGGCCTAAAATCGGACTCGTGAGCCCGCGGGTCGGGCTCCTCGTCGTGCTCTTCAGGCTCACCAAAATTGAAAGGGTCATTCTGGCTGCCGTCGTTTGCTGTTTCGGCGTCGGGGCCCAAATCGTCACCCGAGCCAGAGACAACATCTCCGAAAAAAGGACGAACAGGCGGCCTGAAACTTGTCCTGAAAAACCTGCCTCGCCTCCTGCCTAGCCTTCTTAGCCTTCTGAGACTTACTGTTGGGCTGGGGCAAGGCGGTCGGGCGTGAAACCTGAGGGAGCTTATGTGCAACGTGCAGGGACCGAGTGATGAGTTGTTGCCCAGCCGATCTAAGAGAAATGCTGATGCCACAGTGTGTGCCCCAGGGGGCCTCTAGGACCGCTCTGACACTACCTATGTACGGGCACGCAGCGGGGCTGGCGAGTACATAATCAATGTGAGACTGACCCGCTCCTGTGACGCACGTGTGTTGGACATCTGACTGAAAAATAAACCCTTTGACTCGATCGACGAAGCCGCACCTGGCTAGCTCCCCTGGTGTCATGTTAAAGTCGCCTGCGATCAACCATGGAAGCTGGAGAGTCGACGCGAATGCTCCTAGGTGCACAAGCCTTTGTGCATTGCTTCCGCTAAATCCCTGAGGCGCGATTCCGTAATAAACTAGAAGAGCGAGAGAGTACCCCTTGAAATGCCGCGTGACTGGCAATAACCCATCCAGGGGCACCCCAGAGTCGGCACACAAAGACGGAAAATCCGAAGGCTCACCAACCTCATGGGCCTGGGGGTGCCCCTGGGCCAGAAACATTTCACCTCCTTCGTTCGAACGATCTGAAGTGGTCTCGACCTTGGGCCGAGCAGCGTTGAAAAAAGGTTTGAGCTTCGCCTGCCTTGCCAGTTTGGACCAATGATCCTGACGCGAGGCAGGGGCGTGACTCTCAACTATAGCCAAGTACTGATATTGTGACTGCACAGAGGAGGAGGTCAGGAAATCCCAAGCGAGAGGCCCAAGACATGAACTATTACCATACAGAATATTCGAAAAATCTTCGGGCTCCTGCCCTCGGTCCTGACCAGACCTCTCCTGGGCCCCATCCGAGCTATGCTCTGGAGTGGCGGGGCCCTCACGAGACGAAGCAGCGAGCTGGCCGTTGGAGAACGCCGTGTCCTGCAGGCCGCCAGCGGGAGCCTGCGCGGCGGGCTCTCACTGCCCTGCCCCCTTCTCGGCGGCCTCCTTCGCGGCGAACTTGGCGGCCGAGATCTTCCCCGCTGCACTTCGGAGCTCCCCTGGGGCGAGCTCCGCCGCCGCTGGGGCGCTGCCGCCTGGCGGGCCTGAGGCGCCCGAGCCTGCGGCTCCGCCCGACGGCGCCTCGCCACCAGCGCCGCCCGCTGGACCAGCTGGCTGAGCCCCTGCCACAGGCCCCTGCGCGCCGCGCCTCTTCTTGGCCATCCTGTCCGTGATGCTCTTCTGCAGCTGCTGGTACTTGACCTTCCACTCGTCGACCTGGGACACTTTGTTGACGAGGGTCTCCTTGGCCTCCTTGAGCTCTCGCCCAAGCTGCTCGAGCTGCTCCTTCTCGCCTGCCTCGCACTCCATGTGCGCGATGCTGGCGAAAAACTCCTCGTCGTAGACGAGGTCCCACTGCGACTGCTTGACCTCGGGAGCGGCGTCCGACGTGGCGCCCATCTCCTGAGCCAACGCCTTGGCCGCGAGCTTCTTGCAGACCTCCGCGGCCGCGAGCTCCAGCGCCGCGGCGCGCTCCTTCTCCTCCGCGCGCTCCAGCTGCTCTCTCGACTTGATGACCTGCTTGACGGCCTGGTCGTGCCGCGCGTTGGCGTCGCGGTAGGCGCTGTCCGCCCTCCGCGCTGCCTCCGCAGTCGGCACGTCCTTGTTGGCTCCCGCAGCGTCCTGGAACTCGAGCTCCTCGAGCTGGGTGAGAAGAGCCTGCTTGACGGCAATGTCCGTCGACTTGGCCAGCATGTTGGTGAGCATGGCCTTCATAGCAGCTCGCGCCCCTTTGCCAGAACTCGCTGACTTTCCTGCACCTGGGCCTCCCTGAGCGTTGCCCTTGGGGGGCACCGCCAACTGAAGCGTGTGCCCACCTCCTGGAGCGCCCTGGCCACCCTTCTTGTCCTTCTTGGACTTGTAAAGCTTCGCTGGGCAGTTGCATTTCTGACAGTGCAGGCTCCTGGTCTCGAGGATGTCGTTCCACTCCGTGGTGCCGCACTTCCCGCACTTGGACCAGGGCCGTGACATGGCTTCTGCAGCCCCCCCGCTTTTGCTACCCAAATCGTCTGATGACTGGAGGATCAGCAGACTGGGCACCCCTCAAGCACCACGTGGCGGCGCGGGGTCTGGACTGGACAGGTGCGACAAAATGTATGGAAGTGTGTCAGAGAAAAGGGCCTCCTTCAGCACCCCCTGCACCCGCCCGAGCCAGAGTTGCTTGAGAGGAGGAGGAGGAGGAGGAGGAGGAGGAGGAGGAGGAGGAGGAGGAGGAGGAGGAGGAGGGAGGAGGAGCAGGAGCAGGAGCAGGAGCAGGAACAGGAGAGCAGGAGCAGGAGCAGGAGGAGCAGGAGCAGGGCAGGAGCAGGAGCCGGAGCAGGAGGGAGGAGGAGGGAGGAGGGAGGAGCGAGGAGCGAGGAGCGAGGATTGAGGAGGGAGGAGGAGGGGGGGGAGGAGGGAGGAGGGAGGAGGGAGGAGGGGGAGGGAGGTATGGAGGAGAAGGAAGAGAAGGAGGAGAAGGAGGACAAGGAGAGAGGAGGAGGAGGAGGAGGAGGCAGGACGGAAGGAGGAGGAGGAGCAGGAGGAGGAGGAGGAGATGGAGGAGGAGATAGGAGGAGGAGGAGAGAAGGAGGAAGGGAGGGAGGAGAGGAGGAGGAGGGAGGAGGAGGAGCAGGAGGAGGAGGAGGAAAAGGAGGAGGAGGAAAAGGATGAAGAGGAGGAGGAGCAGCTGCAGGAGGAGGAGGAGGAGGAGGAGGAGGAGGAGGAGGAGGAGGAGGAGGAGGAGGAGGACGGAGGTCGACCTGCATAGATCGTCCTCCCCCTTCGCCCAGTCCGCCGCGGAGCTGGCCCGCTTCCGACAGCAGCTCGTCGACGACACCGCCGAGGGCGACGAGGCGAAGGCCGGCGCTGGGGCCCTCGAAGAGGCGGGCGCCGCCCCGCCGCCGCCGCCGGCCGTCGTTGGCCGCCGTCGTCTGCAGCGCCGCCGCCGCCGTTCGAGGCCTCTGCTGCTTTTGGAAATTTCAGATTCGACGTTCGATGTCTTCGGACGTTCTCCTCGGCGGTTTTCCCGTCGCCGGGTGCACTGTCCAGCAGCGGCACCACGCCCAGAGCTCTGCGAGGGTGCCCAGATCGTCCCGAGTGGCCGCCGGAGAGCCGAGTTGTGACCCGAAGGCCAAGGAGGGGCCGTGGCCGTGGCCGTCGTCGGCGTGGGTCTCGCAGAGGCGGGGCTTCGTCGCTGGCGTCGCCGGCGCCGTCGGCGTCGCTGGCCTCCCTCGTCACCGTCCTCCTGGCTCTTCCTCTCTCAGGCTCGACCCCCCCTCGCCTACCTCCGAAGAAGAAGAATAAGAAGAACAACGCCATAAACAGAACCTTTCGGCGCTCCGCGCGGATTTCTTGGATCCGCGTTGACCCCCCCAGGCGGCGCCTCCAGCGCCGCCCCTGGCGCGCTCCGCGCGCCAGGGAGGGGGGTCCAGCGCATATCCAAGAAATCCGCGCGGAGCGCCGAAAGGTTCTGTTTATAGCGTTTCTTCTTCTTCTTCTTCTTCTTCTTCTTCTTATTTTTCTTTTTCTTCTTCTTCTATCTTCCTCTCTCAGGCTCGATCCCGCCCTCTCCTCCCTCCAGCCTCCTGCCTCCCTGTCTCATCCCTGGTCCCTCTTCCCTGCTTCTTCTCGTGGGGTTCCCGGTGGCCGGTGACGGAAGTGGCTGTTTGGGCCACCCCCCCCCCCCCCCCCCCCCCTCCCCAGCCCCCCCAAAGTGTACATTGAGCACGGGTTTGCCTCGAGCCTCGAGCCCCACTTGGCGGCCGAGACATCCTCCAGAGCCGCTGGATCTCAGAGATTTTCGATTCATCTTCATCCGATGTTGCACGCCAGTTGTTGAAAGTAGGCGTTTCTGGATATCCTGCTTCCAGAGTCCAGCGGTCTTCCCTCTTCCCTCCACTTCAGGGGGTCGGCGGAGATCCAACCTGCTTCCCACGCCTTCTTACTTCATGCTTCTAGCCACTTCTTTCGACCGGCGGGCTCCTCCTCCTCCTCCTCCTCCTCCTCCTCCTCCTTCGCTTCCTCCTCCTCTTCGTCGTCCTTCGTAACAGTGAGTTCGGAGACTCTGCGGCGGGCGCAGCGGCTCGCTTGCTAGGTTTTCAGAAGTCGGTTTCACTTGATGCTCGGGGTCAAGAGCTCTGTGAGCAGTAGGCAGGCCAGAGGCCTGATCGACGCGGCCGTAAGGTCGGTCCTGGGGCGTTGCGCTATCCAGGAAGTGGATATTGGCTCCGATAGGTGTTTGATCTGATCCTTCCCCTCTTCCCTCCTCCTTCTCCTCCTCCCCCTCCTCCTCCTCCTCTCGTCCCGGCTTCGTCTTTTCTATCCACGTTCCAGGAGGAGGTCGGGGGCGGCCTAGAGGATGGTGATGACTAGGGGGGGTGGATGAGGGCCATGATATCTCCCCAGATCTCATGGCGTCCCTTCTTGTTTCAGTACGTCCCCGCCCCCCCCCCCCTGGGCCTCGCACATGCCGCCGGCCATGATTTGCGTCCCCCGCTCTTTGAGGTCCCCCTCTTGGCTGCCCCCGAGCAAGGGCCTGTTTGCAGAGGTGCCAGCAGCAGGTGGTGTCACGCCTCGCGCCTCCCGGACGGGAGCCCGACGGGGAAGATCTCGCAGAAGCAGGCAGGAGCGGAACAGAGGAGCGGCTTTCCGAGGGAGGCACGCCGGCGGAAGCTGGGCGGAAGCTTCTCCTCGGAAGCTGGAGCATCTGCATTACCAGTGGCGGGCTGTTTCTCTAGGGGAACCGAAGAATGACATACACAAAAACTCGGAGGTCTGCGCAGATTTATCGGACCCTGGACCCCCCTGGCGGCGCTTCCGGCGCCGCCCCTGGCGCGCTCCGCTCGCCAGGGGGGGGGTTCAGCGCCGATCCGAGAAATCCGCGCGGACCTCCGAGTTGTTCTGTTTATGTCACTCTCCGTTCCTCTAGTTTCTCAATCCCAGGACTTTTTGAGGGTCGGGGGCGACGTCGGGGTGGTGTGGTGTATACTTGCTCCCCGTGTTCCCGAGGATTCAACGAAACATGTGTACACCGGGATTCCGTATACACCAGGATCGGCTGTCGTACGCAAATTTCAGTGCAGAGCCGCAAAAAGTGTCGGTGTATAGAGTTCGGTTCTCTATCTCCGTCTCTCCCGCCGCCCCCTCCCCCCAACCTTCCATTTGGCGGCGAGCGAGGAGGGGAAATGAGAAGGAGAATGCCTTCTCAGAAGGCGGTGGGGATTCTCAGAAGGCCTCTGGCATTGTGAGAGACTTTTTCGTGTCTTCGGGAAAGGCTCAGAAAAATTACTCCGACGGAAGAACCCCACATAAGAATCCTCTGGGCGAATCTGGAAAAAACCATCACCGTCGTCCTCGTGGTTGGTGAGGCGTCCTGGCTGTCTCTTCTGCGTATATTTCCTCTCGCCTTGGCGCGGGCCCCCCTTCCACTCCTTACGTTGTCCCCATCCTCGCCCCCTGTTTGTTCCGCGCCCGCCACCTCCTCCCCTTCCTGTTGCATGAGCGCGCATGTCGATGTTCCTCGGCGCCGTCGCCGCCACGGCCAGCACAGGCGCGTTCTCTACTGGTCACGTCGCGCAGCCGTTGGGACAAACCCCGCGGGCCAGGCTGTCGGGACAACCCCGCGAGCCGCTGGCGCGCAAAACCAAGCCGTTGGGACAACCCCGCGGGCTTCGAGCGAGGCGCAGCCGCGCTCAGGCGGAAGGCAGCACGAAACCCAGCTCTGCCGCGAGCTGCTTCGCCTCCGCCCTGGACAAAACCGCTCTCTTGTCGAACTCAGGAGCGCCTTCCGCAGGGACGCCGGCGGCCCGCACTCCAGGAACTCTCGCGGCGGCGGCCGCAGGATCAGCATGTTCCGCATGCACGTGGCGCGGGAGAACATGACGTAGAGGTGCAGCCACCACTGCTCGTCCGACATGCCCGTGCGGCCAGCGTCCTAGTCTCTCGCGCAGTCGATGGTGACGCCCTTGCGCAGCGTCTGGCCCTGCGACAGCGTGGAGGTCAGGTAGGACGCGTGCGTCAGGGTGAACCCCGAGCGGCGCACGCTGTGCGCCCCCGAGCTCTGCCATGTGAACTCCCTTTCGCTGGGCCTGAACATCAGCAAGCTCCGCGCCCGCGCCTCGGCCTGGCCGTCGTCGTCGGCGCCTTCGGCGCCCTGTCGCAGCACCTCGGCGACCTGAGGAGCCCAAAAACTTCCTTGTTGCGTCCAAAATGTGGCCTGGGAGCTGCGTTCTGGCAGCGCGAGAACCCAAAATTGACGACAGTTACAGGTTTTGGATGACCCGCTCGGATTACCAACATGATCTGCGGGCCCCATAGGGAGGGGGCTCCCGCCTGAGACTTCCTCGCAGTTCACTCACAAACGAGGCTCCCGCCTGAGACTTCCTCCATATTCAGGCTTGAGGAGCCCAAAAGTGACGACAGTTACAGGGTTCCGATGACCCGCTCGGATTACCAACATGATCCGCGGGCCCCATAGGGAGGGGGCTCCCGCCTGAGACTTCCTCACAACACTCACAGACGAGGCTCCCGCTGAGACCTTCCTCCAAAGTCAAAGTTTGGACGAGCCCAAAAGTGAGACAGTTACAGGGTCCGATGACCAGCTCGGATTACCAACATGATCTGCGGGCCCCATAGGGAGGGGGCTCCCGCCTGAGACTTCCTCGCAGTTCACTCACAGACGAGGCTCCCGCCTGAGACTTCCTCCATATTCAGGCTTGAGGAGCCCAAAAGTGACGACAGTTACAGGGTTCCGATGACCCGCTCGGATTACCAACATGATCTGCGGGCCCCAAAGGGAGGGGGCTCCCGCCTGAGACTTCTTCACAATTCACTCAAAGACGAGGCTCCCCGCCTTGAGGGACTTCTCCATTTTCAGGCCCTGGGTAGCCCAAAAAAAGTGACGACAGTACAGGGGTCCGATGACCGCGTCGGATTACCAACAGATTTCGGGCCCAAAGGGAGGGGGCTCCGCCTGAGAATTTCTAACAATTTACTCGGGGAGCGCGCTCGGATGATGAGATGAGGTGATGAGTGGTTGGTGAAGATGAGTGGTGAAGAGGATGATGAATTGATTGAGAGTGGTGGTGGCGATGATGCGTTTGAATGAGGATGATGCCGATGCGATGATGATGATGTTGTGCGCGTGTGAGAGAGTGCGAGTGATGATGATGATGAGTATGTGAGTGACTAAGCATGTGAGAGAGCATCATCGATGATGCTGATGAGGTTGATGATGAGAGAGTGTGAGTGAGTGTGAGTGGGTGTGTGTTCCTTCGCGGGGTGTCCAGAGAAAACAAGAACCCCACTTTGGATGTGGGGAATTATCAGAATCACCGAGCGCGTTCCTCTACTCGCACAGTGCCTAGTCGCAAACGTCCGAAATAACACATGCGGCTTCGATGTAATTCATCGTAGATCCCCCGCGGCGGATCCAGGCCATTTGCGAGTAGTCACTTTGCGAGTAGTTGAACGCGCTCGTCTACAGAAGGCTGGGAGACTTCCGAGCATTCCGAGAAGGCCCGCCCCTTCTCATTTGCCCCCGGGGCGCACCGCGGACCACACGTCGGTCGTTGAAAGCAAGATGTTTTTGGGATTTCCTGTGCCGCCCCTGGTGCGCCAGAGAGGGGGTTTCAGCGCAGATCCAAGACATGCACGCGTACCTCCAGCAGTTAATTTTATGCAGTTTCCTTTTCTCCAGAGGAGGAGAGGGGGGGGAGGAGGAGGAGGAGGAGGAGGAGGAGGAGGAGGAGGAGGAGGAGGAGGAGGAGGAGGACGAGGAGGAAAAGGAGGAGGAGGAGGAACTCTGCATCCTCTGCAATGCCTCCCGCCTCTCCTTGAGCTTTCTTAGATTTTGGGCTCGGATCGGGTCGGCCATTCTGGAGCT